TTTGAGTCCTCCTGGGGTGATCTTAGATCTTGCCATCAGACTCAATGCAACCCTCTATCCTTCGCTGCTTCTGTGTATCTGTGCAGGCAAGAGCAAGAAAATGCTTGTGAAAGAAAGGTTTGATTTTATTTTAGGAGATTGAAATTGTGGTTTACACAGGTTTCGCTAGTACTTAAGGAGTGGATTTCCTGAATTAATTGTGTCAGTCGCAGCTCGAGGAAAATGTAATCACTGGGGATGCTCTGAATAGTTTCATTGTATCACTAGACCATTAGCTAAACCCACAAAAATGTTTCTCTCCATCCTGTTTAGATTGGGATTAACTGCCAAGTCAGGTGTATTACACAAACAACAATCACTACGGAAACAATGGCAACAAACACATAGCTACAACTATAACTCCTGTCTGGTTCTCAGCACCCATCTACAGCCAACTTCCTCAAACACAGCACTTTGACTGAATGTTTTGCACACTGCACCTCTGCAGAAGGTGTTGTGATCATACTTCTGAGTGACATTATGTTCCATTTGCCAACATTTTTCCTACACACATACCTATCAATATCTCTCTGTAAGCTGTTTGTATCCCTCAGGAAACTTGCCTTTTCAATTATATTTGTGACACTTGCAAATTTGGCAACAGTACATTCGCTTCCTTCATCCAATTTTCGATATTTATTTTAAACAATTTCGGACCCAGCACTGATCCATATGAAACCCCACTGGTTCCAGGTCACCAACCTGAAAAAGAACCCCTTTTCCCCACTCACTGTTTCTTGTCCGTTAACCAGTTCTCTATCCAGGGAATATCTCCCACACTATGGGCTCATATCTTATGGCTTAACCCTTTGTGAGGTATCTTGTTGTACGGCTTCTGGAAGTCCAGATACAACATATCTACTGTTCCCCTCTATCCACTCTGGTTGACAGTTCCTCAAAAATCTCTAATAATTTAATCTGTCACAATTTCCATTTCATGAAACCATGCTCACTCTGCTTGATTTTATTATGATTTTCCAAACGTGCTGCTGTTACTTAATAATTGATTATAGACTGTTTTCAACAATAGATGTTCTGATTCACTAATGCCCTTCAGTGAAGGAATTCTGCATCCTTACCTGCTCTGAACTACATGTGACTCCAGACCCACACAAATGTGGTTGGCTTTGGTAAATAGGGTTAAGGAGAATCCAAGGGATTCTGCAAATACATTAAGGATAAAAGGGTAACTAGAGAGAAAATAGGGCCCGTTAAAGATCAGCAACACCACTGATGTGTGGAACCGCAGGAGATGAGGAAGGTGCTAAACAAGTATTTTGTGTCAGTGTTTCCTGTAGAGAAGGATCTGGAAGATAGAGAACATGGGGAAATAAATAGCGACATCTTGAAAAATGTCCATTTTACATAGCAGAAGGTGCTGGACATCTTAAAACGCACAAAGGTGGATAAATCCCCAGGATCTGATCAGGTGTACCCTAGAACTCTGTGGGAAGCTAGGGAAGTGATTGCTGGGCCCTTTGCTGAGATAATTTTATCATCGATAGCCACAGGCAAGATGCCAGAAGACTGAAGGTAGGCTAACGTTGTACCAGTATTTAAGAAATGTGGTAAGGAAAAGCCAGGGAACTATACACTGGTGAGCCTGTTATCAGTGGTGGGCAAGTTGTTGGAGGGAATCCTGAGGAACAAGATTTACATGGCTTTGTGCGTGAGAAATTGTGTCTCATGAACTTGATTGCGTTTTTTTGAGGAAGTAACAAAGAGGATTGGTGAGGGCAAAGCAGTGGACATGATCTATATGAACATCAGTAAGGCATTCAACAAAGTTCCTTATGGTAGACTGGTTAGCAAGGTCACACAGAATAGAGGGAGAACTAACTATCTGGATACGGAATTGGTTCAAAGGTAGAAGACAGAGGGTGGTGGTGGGGGGTTGTTTTTCAGACTGGAGGCCTGTGACCAGTGGTGTGCCACAAAGATCGATGCTGGGTCCACTGCTTTTCATCATTTATATAAATGATTTGGATGTGAACATAGGAGGTACGGCTAGTAATTTTGCAAATGTCAGCGAAGAAGGTTACCTCAGAGTACAGTGGGATCTTGGTCAGATGGGCCAATGGGTCAAGGAGTGGCAGATGGAATTCAATTTCGATAAATGTGAGGTACTGCATTTTGGAAAGACAAATCAGGGCAGGACTTGTACACTTAATGGTAAGGTCCTGGGGATTGTTGCTGAACAAAGAGACCTTGCAGTGCAGCTTCATAGTTCCTTGAAAGTGGAGTCACAGGTAGATAGGATAGTGAAGAAGACGTTTGGTATGCTTGCCTTTATTCATCAGTGTATTGAGTATAGGAATTGGGAGGTCATGTTGCGGCTGTGCAGGACATTTCTGTCCTGTACAAAAGGTTCAGCCACTTTTGGAATACTGCATGCAATTCCAGTCTCCCTGCTTTAGAAAGGATGTTGTGAAACTTGAAAGAGTTCAGAAAAGATTTACAGGGTGTTGCCAGGGTTGGAGAGTTGGAGCTATAGGAAGAGGCTGAATAGACTAGTGCTATTTCCCCTAGAGTTTCAGAGGCTGAGGGATGACCTTATAGAGGTTTATAAAATCATGAGGGTATTGGATAGGGTAAATAGACAAGGATTTTTCTCTGGGGTGGGGGAGTCCAAAACTAGAGGGCATAGGTTTAAGGTGAGAAGGGAATGATTTAAAAGGCATCTATGAGGCAACTTTTTCACACAGAGGATAGGTGGTGCATGTATGGAATGAGCTGCCAGAGGTAGCGGTGGAGGCTGCTACAATTACAACATTTTAAAAGGCACCTGGATGGATATATGAAAAGGAAGGGTTTAGAGGGATATTGGCCAATGCTGGCAAATGGGATTAGATTTATTTAGGATATCTGGTCGGCATGGACAAATTGGACCGAAGGATCTGTTTCCATGCTGTATATCTCTATGACTGCCCTCTGGGCAATTAAAGATGGACAATAAATGCCCACAGTCTATAAGCAAATAAAAGAAAATTTGCTTCATATACCCCCTGTGGTAGTCCATCTCATCCCTCAAGTCTTCATCCTCAGAGTTTATTTACTTTAATCAATATATCCCCTTCTTGAGTTTAAATACATTTATCTCATTGCTCATCTCATCATTTAATGACATACCAACCTGTTCTATCTCCTTGCTAATTACTGAAACAAAGTAATTATTGTATATTTCTTCCACCTTACTATTACTACCTGTGGGATTCCCATCATAGCTCTCACTATTTTTATTGACATGCCTGCAAAATAATTTTATTTACCTTCTTAATTATGCTTTTTCTTAACTTCCCCATAATCTCTTGTACTGTAGCCCCACAATCATTTACTTACATTTTGCCTCATTTTTAAACCTCAATTGTTCCTTTACATCATTATTCACTAACATTATTCTTTTCTTTTTTGTCTTGTATTATTTCTTTTATTCTCCCCACACTACAATAAAACACCATTTTATCTATTTACTTTATTAATTCACTGAATTTGGACATCTTAGCTGGGCCAGCATTTATTGCCCATCCCTAGTTACCCTTAAGAAAGTGGTGGTGAGCCACCTTCTCGAACTGCTGCAGTCCATTTGGTCTATGTAGACCCACAATACCATTTGAGAGGGAATTCCAAGATTCATCCCAATGACACTGAAGAAATGGCAATATAATTCCTCAGGATGATGAGTAGCTTAGAGGAAAACTTGCAGACGATGGAGTTCCCATGTATCTGATGTCCTGGTCCTTCTAGGTGGCAGTGGAGGTGGGTTGGAATATTTTGAAGGTTTATAATATTTTCCACTGATGTTGTGCATCTTTGTTTGCCAGTATAACCTCCTGCTTTATTTGCCAAATTTTACCTTAGCCCCCCAAATTCAGACTTTCTTCAATTGGTTTTCATCATAATATTGTCCTTCTCCATCAGTTTTAATATTATGGTCACTATTGCCTAGATGTTTCCCTACTTCTACTTGTCTTTATGGTCTGGTTCATTTCCCATTACTAGATCCAATAGTGAGCATTCCCTTGTTGCACTTTTCAAATGTTGGGTTTGAAAGGAGTCCTAGGAACTCCATTTATTCATCCCTTTTCCTAGGGTGGGGGAGTCCAAAACTAGATAGCATAAGTTTAAGGTGAGAGGGGAAAGATTTAAAAAGGACCTTAGGGGTAACTTTTTCACGCAGAGAGTTATCTATGTGTGGAATGAGCTGCCAAAGGAAGTGGTGGAGATGGGTAAAATTACAGCATTTAGAAGGCCTCCTGTTGGGTATGTGAATAGGAAGGATTTAGAAGGATATGTGCCAAATGCTGGTAAATGGGAATAAGTCAGATTGGGATGTCTGATCAGCGCAGATGAGTTGTACTGAAGAGTTTGTTTCTGTGCTGTTTGACCCTATGACTCTATAAACGTATTTGTTGCCTTGTCTTCAAAGTCTTCCATAACTTTATTCTTTTCTTCATGCTCTTGTCCTGTTCTGTTGATCTTGAGCCTGTTTATATTTTGCTAATCCCTTCTTCTGCTCTGACTAGTTGAAAGCTTTTGCATCCCTACCCCTCCCCAGTTAATGTCTCTCACAGGACACAAGTATCATCCTGGTTCAAGTGGGAACTATTCCATTGGTGCAGCTTGTTCCTACCCCAGAACTGGTTCCAGTGTCCTATGATAAGAAAAAAAACCCTCTCTCCCCATGTATCAGCCTTCTAGCCACATCTAATCTGCTTTTCCATGTACACCGTAACTCGCAATACTCTTTCAGGATCTCTTCCTGTTCCAACCTATATCCTTCATTCAAGCATAGACCAGAACAATCAGCTTCACCAAGCTTCTTTTTCAATGTCCTGTTCAGTCCTTGTGAGATATCCTCATGCTGGCATTGGGTAGACAACACACCCTTTTCAGTTCTCATTCTTGACTGTGTTCTGGAGAATTCCCTTACCCACGCACGCATTTTCTCTCAATTCACTCACCTGTCTGGAGTAGACAGATATTTCTGTTTCTGGAATTTTTTCTCCAGCCCCATGAGCTGCAACTCAGTGAAAATGGTGCGACTTCTGCGAGGCTTTTTGGGGCGAAGAATGCTCTGGTCACTTTCACACTCACTGCTGGTAGAAGAAATATTCTCAAGAGCTGGCCCATCCGGCTTACTGGTGGGTGCAACAGGAGGCAGATAATGTGGAATCCTCGCCGTGAGAGCTGGAGAGAGGTGAGTCGCCAAAAGCAATGGGTACGAGCTCAAGGATGACCCTGCTGAAACACATGGGATTAACGTTAACCAGAGTCAAAGGACCAAACATCAGTCTGTATAGTCCTGCCTAACAATGTGGATACTGGGAGAAGACAGGATCAGCTGTGATGTGTCTCACAGTCAACTATCTCACTGGCAGTCATTGGCATGTTTACAATGGGTAAAATTAGTGTCCTCTTTAGAGGCAGAGCTTTTAGGAGAGAAGAAAGTAAAGCAACATTTGCATCTAAGTGACAGTATTAACAACAACACATTGCATTTCAAAGATAACAAGGTGTAGAGCTGGATGAACACAGCAGGCCAAGCAGCATCAGAGGAGCAGGAAAGCTGACGTTTTGGGCCTAGACCCTTCTTCAGAAAACGTCAG